TCTATCTATCTATCTATCTATCTATCTATCTATCTATCTATCTATCATCTATCATAAGGGTCTTCAAACTTGGCAAGTTTAAGACCTGTGGACTTCAACTCCCAGAATTCCTAGGCTAACATGACTGGAGGAAGAATTCTGGGAGTTTAAGTCCACAAATCTTAAAAGCCGTCAAGTTAGAAGAATCCCTGATTTAGATCTTGGATGGAGGACCACAAGGAAATCTCAGAATTTCTAAACAAGAGAGCACAGGTTACTCCTTGATCCCAATCGAGCCCAATATGTCCATTGCTAAGCAAGACAGTTGTTAAGTGAGATTTGGCCCATTTCACGACCTTTTCTTGCCACCATTGTCCAGTGAATCCCCGCCGTTGTTAAGTCAGACACCCGGTCGTTAAGTGAATCGGGCTCTCCTCATCGACTTTGCTTGTCAGAACATCGCAAAAGGGGATCATGTGACTCCGGGATGCTGCGACCCATCATAAATGTGAGTCAGTGACCAGGCTGCCGAATTTTGAACATGGGACCTTCGGGATGCTGTAATGCTCGTATGAAAAGCTTTGAACTGTCACTAAACGAACCATTGTAAATGTCAACTAAAAAGATACTCCTTTGGTCTTTTTAGCTGCCAGCAGAAAGGGAGTGGGGAAAGCAGTGCATTCCTTAAATGCTTCAGATAATCACCTTGGCAGCCGAAGCTGTTGGCCTGCAAGATTATTACTGGAGAGCATGATTGATGACTCTTGGCTATGGATGTTTCCCATTGGAGAATATACATCCAGGGGGTGGGGGAAGACCAGGGTCAAGGGGTAAATGAATTTGGGATTTGTTTTATCAATGGCTAGATAGAAGAGTAAGAAATTGAAGTATATTGTAATAGTAATGATATATTATAATTGATTATTTTTAAATAAGTGATACTATGAATATAACTTAGTAAGAATTGAGTTTTGCTTTTAAAGATGACCTGGAAATGAAAGTAAAATTTTAATAATAGTATAATAACAAGACAATATGATGTGGAATGTTGACTAGAATATAATACGAGTGTAAAGGTAAGAGGAAAGAATTATAGATATTGTGCACATGATGTATATCCCAAACCGACACACTGTATAACTGAAAGATGGTTTTATTTATTATTTTGTATGTTACAAAAATTTAAAAAAAACTTTTTCCAAAAAAGGGGACGGGGAATGGATGATGTATTTTAGGATCGGCTGCATCCAACCAACACCAACAGGGCCACTTCTAATAAATCAATATTCTCTTCTCGGAGAGACACGGCTGGAGACTTATGATCTGAATGGGGGTGGATTTGTTGGAGTCCTGACAGTAAATTGATACAGCAGATTTTTTTGCTTTGATAACCCTCTCAAAGTTGCTTCCGTGAACTCACCCAAAATCAACGAAGTTAAGATACTCTGGTCTCGCCTTTCCATTTTCCCCTCCACACCAGCCCTGTGAGGTAGATCTGGCTGAGGCCTCTTTATGAAAAAACGTTCTTGAAAATCCCAGCGCTTCTCCCTTTGATAAGATCTTTGGCACTGAGCACTTTTCATTTGTGTGGGAAGTCACCAGACCTCATGCAAATCTACTAGCCGCAGCTGGATCATTGGACAAATTATCCCCTTACAGTTGTCTGATAATGTATGGAACTCCTTGCCACTAGATTTCCGATCTCCCTGGGTGGCGGCTGAGTGAAGAGAGGAAGAGAAGCGATGACTCTGAGTGGCTCAGCCAGTTTTTCTTCCTTTCCTTTCTCGCTTCCTTCCCTTCCCTTCTCCTCTCATTCCTTCCTTCCTTCCTTCCTTCCTTGTTCCTTTCCCTTCTCCCTTCCTCCCCTTCCCCTTTCTCCCTTCTTTCCTTCCTTCTTTCCAACCAACCTATCTCTCCTTCCTTCCTCCTTCCCCCCTCCTCCCCTCCCTCTTTTCCTTCCTTCTTTCCTTCCTTCCGCCCTCCCCCTCCTGTTCCTTCCTTCCTTGTTCCTTTCCTTTCTTTCCTTCCCCTTTCTCCCTTCTTTCTTTCCTTCCTTCTTTCCAACCAACCTATCTGTCCTTCCTTCCCC